AGATGGCCTTCAATCTTTTCTTGTTCTTGTCAGCAGGCATCACTGCTCCCAAGCAGACAGTGGAAATCAAATCTCTTTATCTCCAAGGTCACTGGTTTGAAAGTTTCCTCATGCTCCTCCTCCAGTTATCCTTGGCTGCAGTAGTGATGCATATCCAACATTGTCTTTGTGTCAACACTGATAGTGGACGATTTAACCCCACCAGGAATGAAGCATGTTGTTTTGTTTTTTTTGCAGTTCTTGTAGAATGTTGATCCCTTATATGTTTTTTTTTTTTTTTTTTATCATCCTTTGTCGTTACATGTTAGCTTCTGTTAGATGTTTTTGTCTTTGTGTGTGTATGTGGGATTGTGTAGGAGTTCCTGTCTTATTGCCATCGTCTCCTTACGCAAACGCTTATGCAACCACGCAGCCTGGTGGCTGATCTCCCCCTTTGCAATCTGTGTTTATATGTGTGGGATTTTTTAGCCCTTTTTTTTCCCATCATTCCCAGACAAGGCTTGTGGTGACAAAGCGACTGAGTCGCCGTCCTCTTTGAAGAGAGATAGAGTGGATTAGCAGTTAATTCTGATCCCCCCCCACCCCCTCAGTATTCCAGAAACTTCATTAGTTTGACTTCAGTAAGCTCTAATCTGATCTGTCACTGTGACGACGCCCAGCAGATGCATAAGGGCGACTGGGTTTGCCCTCACTAATGCTTCTTTCTGTTTACAAGCATTTTTCACTGTTTGTATGTCGTTACAGGATTAATTTCTAATCATACTGAATAAAACAGACACTGCTTATAAAGCTAGATACCTTTCTCAGTTTTCTTTTTATCTCTTTATGCATGCATATGTTCACCCTCTGCATTTTCCCACATTATATTGAGACTTTATGCAATACAAAGTTCTATGATATTGCAAATGAAAAATAAAATTAAAAAAGGTTTTCCATGGTTTTTGCAAATGAAAACCTAAAACATGTGATTTGCATGAAATGTTCTTCACAGACTTACTTTTTTATGCTAATAACAGCTTCAAATCGTTTGAGGTTTATCATTAAAAGCTGTTTATAAAGAGGCAGAAACTTTTAATCATCTCTCTTTTGCAGAAACGCTCAAATTTAGCTGGATTAGAATGAGAAACATCAACTGGAGGCTTTGAGGACCCAAATGCAGAGAGGAGTAGGCACAGATTAGTTTGTGATGATTTAATGAAAGTCAAAGGGGAACAGAGGCAACAATCAGAGGTGTCAAGTAATGAAGTACAAATGCTTTCTACAAATTACTTTTTAAGTATCTATAATTTACTCTATTAATTCATATAGTGGCATCTGGCTGTTTTTTTTAAAGGTTACTTTATACTTTTATACCGGTACTTAAAGTAGTTTTTGGAGCGAATACTTTTTCACTTTTACTTGAATAAAGAGGTCAAGTTGATAATTAAACTTTAACTAGAGTGTTTTTATTTATTTTTTTTTACAATTTTATTTATGATTTTTTGACAGCATATGACACTGATAAATACAATATGTATTATTGGCTGTACATTTTATCAAAACCCCAATAAACAAATAAAAAAAAATGTAAACAAAAATATATAACTATAATTACAGCAGTTAAATAATTACACTAGAGTCAAGGCCGGCCTATCTAACTATGGCATGGTGCACATTTTAAAAGTTTCTATATATTTCAAGAATGGCTGCCATGATTTGTTAAATTTAGTCAATGAGCCCATTAGCGTACTTCTCATTTTTTCCATGTATAAAAAACCTCATAAGGTCAGCAATCCACTGATCATGAGTAGGAAGAGTTTCTTTCCAATTCTTAAAGTAGTCTTCAGGTATTAAATGTCGCGCAAATAAAGAGGCAAAAGCAACAGCATTTGAATAGCGTTTAACAATAGAAATGCCTGGAGGTATCACCCCAAAGAGTGCAATCAAAGCCGACGGAGCAAGTTTGATTTTATATGTCTCAGAAAGTGTCTTAAATTAGCCGTCCAATAGTTGCTCAGTGTAGGGCATGTTCAAAAAGTATGAATAAGTGAACCAATTTCACATTGGATCACTATCTGGATAAAACATAGCTAATTTTTCTTTGGAAATATGTAAACGGTGTAGAACCTTGAATTGTAGGAGCCCATGCCTGGCACAGATAGAGGACGATTGTACGCTATGCAACATACAATCCCAAAGATCAGCTGAGATGTTCATCGCCAAATCTTTTTCCCAGTGTGATTTTATAATGGAGAGAGATGGAGATTGTAAATCCAGTAATAAACTGTACATTTCTTTAATCACCCCCTTTTTGTGAACATTAATATCCAAAATACTATCCAAAATTGTTTTCTCTGGTAAGTTAGGAAAAGTACTGTATCTATTGACTGTAAAGTGGCGTGAGGGTTGCTTCATTTGGGGGAGGAGCCAAAAGAGGATGATGTCTGAAGCCTCACTGACCGCTTCGGGAAGTGGTTCAGCTCGCCCTGAACTTCGCCAGGCATTTAAAGCATCAGTATTGAGTCAAGATGAGGGAGTTTGTAGGAAAGTTGGATAGAGTTTGGATATATTCTAAGACTAGATTGGTTGGAAAAACAACCAATCTAGTTGATTAAAACTAGTTTGGTGAGATTAAACAATGTAATGATCAAAATCTGAGGCACACACAGGTTACAGATGTAATTGATTTCTTACTAGTGGCGTCAACTTTAACAGATGGACTCCCACTCTTGAGGTCTATGATTTAAGACTCACATCAGATTTTTGAAAGTTGGGATAAAACTTTATTTTTTCAGCTAATGTGACTAATTTGTACTGGTTTGCCCTAGTAAAACTATACCAGTGTTAGATCGGTTGGTTTAACCAAAACATTTGTTGAACACATAATTTCCAACCCGATTAAAACCAAAAACTCTGGAAAAACTAACATGTTTGAATAAAATAACGAACACCTTTCATTTTGTTCATCGTAGCCCAATTTGCACAAATACGTTCACTGTCTGCTTGAGCTTATTTCACTAAAATGGCAGAAAAACTTTGACTTTTCTCTTCTAAGACATGTTACACATAAAAAACTTACTAAAGATTTTACTATACAGACCAATCTTTAACAATTTCAAATGATTTTATATGAGAAAAAAATATATAAAAAATTGGAAAAGATTAGATTCTATTACTAACTGTAGTTCTGCACTCCACCAGTAGTTGGTGACATGTTCACATAAGGCTTCTTGAACCGTCGGGATCATTGAAGCAATTAGCCAAATGGTGCAATGCCTCATGACGCTTCATCTCACCATCACTACTGAAAACCGAACAAAAACCAATAAAAATCAGGGAAAATACTGGAAGGAAGCAACGAAAACAACGAAACGACACACAAAACCAGCACTGAGTGAAGGCTCTGCTGCCCTTTTAAGCCCAGCACTCTGATGAGAAAGATTATCTTCACCTGTGTAGGCTACCCAGGTTCTCAACAAAGATCCTCTCTGGCAGAGATGCATAACTCGCACTCACTCACTCACACACTCACACACAGGAACCCTGACAAGAACCTGTGTTCAAATTCATTCTCTAATTCTAAATGGAATTGAGTTCTGGACTTTGACTAGGCCACTCTAACAGTATTAGCTACAGGTTTTTGTGGCCTTCTAAACAGGTTTTGTTGTGGTTTGCTGAAGACAATTATTCCCACAACATAATACTGCCACCACCATGTTTCCAACTTAGAGTTGTTCTCTTGTGTCAAGGATGAGATCAAATCTTACAAATATTGCTTTTAATCTCACTTCCACTTTTTCACCACATCTCCTTAAAGGCTGGATCATTGGGTGCACAGTGCTTAGACTTTTCTGCTTAGGTTGTTAATTTCTGCATCTCTTTTGGAGTTGGAAATCTAGCTTGTGTCCCATATTAAAACATAGTGCTGGAAGCAGCATGCTGATGGAATCCTCCATTTTTGCTGCAGATTGGAAGTTATCAGAGTTGATTAGAGTGAGTTTAACCTAAATATAAATTATGTCATATTTTTCAGATTTCAAAGATGCAGCAGATATACCATATAATTGTTAAACACCAAATTCATCATGATTTAAATTTTATATATTTAATGAAATTATAAATTGCAGAAATGTATCTTTCTTACAAAACTATAAAAATGAATTACATAATATAACTCAAATAATTAAATATATTATTTTAAAATATAATATTTTAAAAATCTATTTATTTATTGTTTTATCCAACACTTGATTTAAGTACAAGAAATTCTGTGACATTATAAAATTCACAGGTAAATAATCAATAATCAGTCCCATTAAATGATTACATTATACATAAAATAATAAAGTCTCATTTCAATGTTTATTTATGTAATATTTGATTTAAATTAGTTATACCGTGGGACTGTAAATTTCACAGTAATTAAATGACTTATTAAATAATTAAAAGCAAAAATGTTATTTAACCAATATATGTATTTAAACTGTAGTAAATAGGATAAAATGTTTGGCAACCCTGGTTTAACACCCAGGTTGAAGGAGCGCCTCTCCTCCACCAGGGGGAGCCAAACGTTTGTCTATTTAGAAAATTAATCTTTGCTTAACTGTAAGAATTGTAAATCTGGACAAGATATTTCATGCAGCAAAAGAGTCATAAAAACACAAATGTATTTATTGTAAGAAGCTTAATGCTCTTGGATCAGGGCAGGGAATAATTTTTTTTTACACAAACCTGCACTGTAAGGATTTGGTTTATTGCTGCTTGTGCTAAAATAACTAATCAAATTAGGATTAGTGTGTTCTCAGCCCTCTACACCAGGCAGGGGGTTGATCTGGTGCCGGCTTCAGATCTCTTAGTGTTTGCTGCATACTCCTCACAGCCTCCTCATGCTACTCTCTACTCCTCATAATAAACGGAAACCTCGACCGATAAAGTGTCTCACCGTTCATTAATTAGTAAAAAAGGAAAGCCATAAACATCATAAATCTTAAATGAGATATTTTTCATCTCCCTTTCTGCAGGGTGTCTGGTGGAGAGCTGTTTGACCGAATCGTGGAAAAAGGATTTTACACAGAGAAGGATGCTAGCACGCTGATCCGACAGGTCCTGGATGCTGTGAATTACCTGCACAAGTTGGGGATCGTGCACCGAGACTTGAAGGTCGGCCATCTTTAAAAGCACAACTAGAGACTCACCACTGCAGCTTTGTCACACGGGTAGTGAATTAGAAGCACAGTTTGAAGGTTTCAGTTTGTCTTTTGGCTCATTTTGATGAAATCATGTCAAACCAGCAACAAACAAGTCAGAATTTATGTGAAGAGTTGAGCTTAGTAAAGGGAAGTTATCATAAAAATTGCAGGAAAATTTGTACTTTCTTTTTATTTCAGAAAAAATGCCTCTCCACAGCATAATGCTGCCACTACCAGGCAATGAGCATGGCTTTAAAAGAAGCAAAGGCTCTGCTTACTGTGCTTACTGACTGGTTGGCTTGAAAAGACTGATTTCAGGATAGTTTTTACTGTAGTATTTCTCTACTTTGCATCAGTTGACCACAGGTTATCCCAGGAAAGAACACGCAGTTTGCAAAGTGAGAAACATGGAGATGCTTTTGCAAGACAGTGAAGAATGAAGTAGAGTTGTTGTGACATCAACATTAGGATATAAATGAACCACAAGAATATGATATGCTCAACAGGTACATTGGAATCGACTATTTGCGTTCAACACAGGCTTATATAACGCTAAATTTTTAAATGTTTTGAGCTCCATGAAGTTAACGGCCCACCCATGCAAAGGAACTCTCATAACCCCTTTCCTTTCAGCCTACTGTCCATCAAAATGAGCCTCTAGTGCTTTAAAAACTCAAAAAAAAAAATAAATAAATTCTTCATAAAGGGAAAAAATTATGTACAACAGTGAGAAGATTTTTAAAGTGCAGAGTGTCTTCAGTCAGAGGCTTCTCCACATCCGCTGCAGGACAGACCTCTATAAAAGATCCTTCCTGCCTACAGCTATCAAAACCTGGTTAAAAAACAAACAAAAATGTTAATTGATATTAATAGATTAATTAAGTATTTTTTTTATATAATTGAATTAAGTGCAGCACTAACCTCTGGTAGAATGGGAACATCATCAGCTGCAATTAAAAACAATTCTTAAAAACTGAAGCAGCACAAATGTCAGTTTTACCTTCACAAATCTGCATTAAAGTAGCGCTAAAAAAAGTCAAAATCTTTGATTCAATTCAGAGATCAGTGGAGGGATGGTGAGCTCTGCATCTCCTAAAAATTATTTTTAATATCTCAGGAAAAAAAAAAAAAAAACGGCACTAATGAAGCACCATCCATTCAGTTTATTTGGCGAGTATTTTCACGTGGGCGGGTCATCAGCTTTACGCAATGTCCATGTGTTCACTGAGTTGAACATGTGGAACATTCAATATACTTTTATTGTAAAATACGCTCATTTAGCATTATTTCAGCTTGTGGTGAACTGAAATAGACATGGGCATAGGTTTGCATAGGGACCATAGGGACATGTCCCTACCAAAATTTTGGACGGACCTATTTGTCCCTACCAATAATTGGATGTGATCAACATGTTTATAATTTACTATACAGCAGCCGCTTCTTTTCCTCTCGCAGCTTCTCTGCCTGGTAGCTGCAGCTGCCTGCTCTTTCCTGTCCCTTTCACATAGCAGCGCATCAACTGTGCTGCGCGGTTTAACTCTCTGATTATTCTGCCTTAAGTTCCGCCTTCTCTCTTTCTGATTGCGTGTTTTCTAGTCTCTATGTGCGCGCGTGCAGGTGCTTGGAGCGCGAAAAAAAAAAGACGCTAAAATAAATTAATATTGGGCTACGAAACTAGTCCAAATAAAAAAAAATATTATCTACGCTAAAACAGGCGAAAGCTTCTGATTGGAGTTCTGTAAAGAAGCAGGAGAGAGTTTTTTGATTTGTGGAACTTGAGAAATGTAAGTTAACAACGTTAGGATTTCTTTTATTTGATCTTTTAATCAGATAGCCAAAGGCTCCTTAAAGAAGATCTTTTATGAAATGAAACCAGGTGAAACAGAAACGTTTAAACGTTTCCTTTGGAGGAGTTCTGGATGGAGAATATTGACAGACAAAAACTATTTATTTTTTTTTTACTTCTTAATTGCAAAATGTTTACATATTTTTTACAATTTTGGTATAATTCCTGCTCTAAGTGGGTCGCTCTGTCGGCTAAAGGCACATTTTAGTGGCCCTATACTCCAGTTTACGATTAATCAATTACTAAATTAGTTCACGATTATTTAAATAATTTGTTAATATGATTAATTGTTTCAGCCATAGATAAAATACATGAAATTAGCTACACAGAGTAACTACAGCCCAGATGTAAATATTATTCTAATATTAATAGTTTAAATGCTCAGTGTCAGTTCCTCTTATAGTTCCAGTGCACATGTAAATACAATACATTTATTTACCGTCCCTTGAATGTATTATTTTGTATGATCCAGAGAGAGCATATTAGATAAAAAAAAAATAAAAATAAGAGTGGGTTTTACCTCTCTTTACCTCTGCACAATTCTATATCATTAAAAGAAAACACAGGATAAATCCACATATTATAGACTATATTTGGTTAAACAGACACTGTCTTAGTAGCAGGTAAATTTAAATGCAATCCTTTTCAAAGTGGAAAAAGTCCTAATTCCACATTCATCAGAGCAAGTTATGCTTTAAATATTGATAAACAGCATCTAGTGCATGTAGTGCTTATAAGATTTGTATTAATGTAGCAAGAAATGCTGCTGTTCTCTTTAAACAAAATGAGCCCTGAAGCTCACATTAAGCATAAAAAAGAGCATGCATATTTTTGCAAAGGACCAATGAAACTGAAGAATAGTGTCCCTACCAAAGTTGAAATCAAACCTACGCCCTTGGAAATAGATGACCCCAATGCACCCGTAGAGTATGCTGATGGATCACTTGTGTCGTAATCCTGACGCCATAACTTTTTAACTCGGATAAAAGGAATTAATCAGCAATTTTGATTTCTTTCGAGGTAATATATAGCTGTCACAATAAATAGTTTAAATATAAATGGTTCAAAGATAAACAAGCTTTTGAATTTTACTCAGCATATTTTAACCAACTATTTAATCCTTTATGTTCTGAAAGATTCTCTTGATATTTTAAAGAAAATGTCCAAATATCAATAAGATCAATCAACTTTAGATTAATTTATAAAGCAATAACATTCAGCTCTACAATTTCGCTTCAAAAAAAGTCTGTTTTCCTTCCCTTAATGTTTTCCGATCAGGCTTCCTTAAAGGCCTCAGGTATCGCTGTGCTTTACTGTGCAGCCGTTAAAACTAGCCTGAGTTTGTCCGAGCTTTGTTTACGCTGGCTTGCATTTCAGCGTAGGATGATCATCTTCCACATAGCATCACCTCAATTAGCCTGTATTATTTAAAAAAAATCACCTATTAGAAACTGGATTTATAAGTTCTTCTGTTCTTCTTGCAGCCTGAGAATTTGCTGTATTTTAATCCACAAGACGAATCCAAGATCATGATCAGTGACTTCGGTCTGTCCAAGATGGAGGGCAGTGGGGACGTCATGTCCACAGCCTGTGGGACGCCAGGATATGTTGGTAAGACAGCCGGACTCCCCTCATTATTAGTCTCCATTTATGCGTTTTCCATTATTATTCCTGGTCTTCTTTCCAATGATTTTGTAACGTTCTCCATAATTCCCCTGCATACAGTACATGAGAGGTTTCTCTGCCTCTACCATCAGTTACAGCCTCTCTCTCTGGCTATGAACATAAGTCAGCAGCAGAACTTTATGTGGCATTTTTGCCCAATGGAGATGGAGGAGTGGTGCTTGCATCCTGCATCATCAGCAAATATTTGTTGTTGAAGCTACAGCTAAAATGGGTAACAAATGATGTAGCATCCTCGCTACCAAGATAATCATAATGCCGTATACCAAACATCAGACAAGCATTAGCAGCTCAAACTCCAAGCAGATCTTTGAATCCATCATTCTTAATGTTTTTATTTTATTTTTGCATGCTTAAATCAGTCGTTATTTGCTTTCTCTCTATAATAAACCATTTAGAGTCCAACAGCTTTAGAATAACTCCCCAGATCCAACATAAACACATTTTCAATGATTATTCGTTTTAATGTGTCTCATAGCAACCTAGTTTTCATTTTTCTCTGTTCATATTTATGTTTTTCGCCTTTTTTGTACATATAGATCAGGGGTATCTAAACATTTCGGCCTGTGACACCAAAAAAAAAAAGAGCGCCACAGACTTTATTACAGTTATTTCACTATCATATAATATTTTATCTAACTATTTATTTATATATCTATATATATAAACATATATTTATATATAAATGTATTTATTTTTATATAACATTGAATTATTGATTTATATTTTTTTATGAGGAATTTGAATATTGCATTATATGCCTATATAATTTCATGGTATTTCTAAGATTTTCTTAGATTAAATCAATAAATAGATAAATAAGTAAAATAATAGTTTAGTTAGGCTATTTATCTTTTCTTGTTTAATGGAACATTTATTTATTTTGTTCAATTTATAATATAGCTAATAATTAAATCATGTGTTAGATAAAAAAAATGAATGAATAAATGCTATTTTTAAATAATATCTAATTATTACAAATTTCTAATTTATTTAAAAAATGTAATGGGTCTTTTTTTTATAGTGCATTTTATAATTTCATGGTATACCTAATATTTTGATAACATTTTTGAGAAATAAATGTAACATAACTACCTTATGATAAATGTATTTATTTCATTGAATACAAAAATGTACTTATGTAAATATATAGATATATTTGCCTCTCCATATAACCCCCCCACCCCCCTGCTTTGTAGGCCTGATTTCTCTGGAATAGAAAGCCACTGGTTTTCTTGTTTTGTTTCCTGAATACATTTGAACTTCTCATCCAAAATGTCTCCTTTGATTCTGAATATCAGTTGGAAACATCAATCCTATAGATTTAGGACAACATTTTTTATTTCTCTTATGGGTCACATGAGTTACCTCGACCTTTGGCTCTGTTCAGTGTTTGGGTCGCTGTGACTGAAGAACCCTCTAAAGAACTCGTGTTCAGAACTGAAGAGCACGAAAACCAAAAAGGATTCCAGTGTTATTTATAGATCATAGGTCCAGTGTCCAGCATGCCATCCTGGAAGTGTTAAAAAATGGAGCAACGGCTCTCAGTTTTACAGAGACTGTAAAATAAACACATAAACAAGCCGGGGAATAAAATACAATTGCACTGATGCTCAACAACTAAAACTGGTTGTAAAGTGCATTTACCAGAACCCAGCAGGACTTTGCTTTAAAATGTTTGCTGATTTATCTCCATCTGACAGATTTTATTTGATTTATTCGCTTTTATTTTTCAAGTCATTGAAATACCAACGCAAACCCAAACACATCTCACAGATTTCTCCTCTGCCAGTTTCTCTGCTTGACTATCCCCCCCCCCCCAATCTTTTCTCGGTCTCCTGCTGAGTTTTGTAGGGCCAAGGGCCGTTTTCTACTCCAGACGCATTGTGTCTATTTATAAATGAGGTATTTATAGCCAGAGGAGGCACCGAATGAAAACCAGATCTGACCGACGAGCAGCTCCAACTCTTAGTTTGACCATATTTGCACAAATCCTTCAATCACAAATTGCTCTGATTGTTTTGTAGCTTCCTCCAGCAGAAATAAGAATTATTCTGGCTGTAAACATTGTTGAAAGTGTTGCTTCAAAAGCAATAAAAACTCAGCATTTTGTTTTGTTTGTTTTGTTATTCCTGATCTATCTGTACCAGCAGCAGCT